TCCCTACAGTACACTGCTACTAGGAAGAGAGGGAGACAGAGGTCATTTCGGGGGGGATCGCGGGGGATTGCAGTTCCCCCGGGTGAGGTATGGGGGCGGGGCACATGACAAAGCCCCGCCCCCTACTTCCGGCCGCCCCGCTTCCGGCCCTCATTCAGCCAGGAGGAGGCAGGAGAAGAGGGAGGGTAAGTTGCTTCCTCCCTGCCTCTCCCCATCCCTGCCTGCCTGGGGCCAGGGAGGCCCTTCGCGGGGCTTCCTTGCACTCCCGCCGGCCTTGCAGGTCCACCGCCGGGCCCCTCATGGGGCTCGGCAATGGACCTGCAAAGCCGGCGGCGGCGGCCGGGACTTTTGGGGGTGATGTGTGTGGCCTTATGACACACATCTGGTGATGTCAGGGGGTGTGGCCTTATGACACACTTCCGGTGATGTCAGGGGGTGTGGCATATGCTAATGAGTTATGCTAATGAGTTCCCCTAGCTCTTTTTCTATGAAACGACCCCTGGAGGGAGAGAGGGAGGAAAGGAACTTGGTGGGCAAGTATTCCCTATTCTCTCATTCAAGTGAGTGAGAGTTTCTTATTGTCTGTTCATAAACCTCTGGCCACTGACTATTTTGGGCAGCTAATCAGAGCCACAAAGAATTAAGCCCAGATGGTGGCAATTTTTCACTGGAGAGGAAGATGTGTGGAAATGGAATACTTTCTTATTGCTTGCTTACTGATTTAGAAATTTTATATGACTCCTGTTTAGAGTCCTGCTAGAGGCAGCTTACAAGAAGTTTTAGGGAAGGGAAAGGGGGTTTAATGCTTCAATCTCCATTCTGTTTTGCCATTCAAAGCCCACACTCCTGCTCTATTAGTGTTTTGAAAGAGGAAAAAAAACCCTTGGTTTTAAAGGATATGTCTTTTCTGATTTCGAATGCTTATAGCAAAATGGCACAGGTGGTTTTGAATAGTGAGATCAAATACAAGCTGAACTTTTAAATTATTTCTGTCTTCATGGGAGCGGTGGCGCAGGGAGTAACAGCACCTGCAGTAACATCTATAGCGAACAGCCATAATGGCTGTTTGAATCCCCACCGCGGCCGGAGTGAGCTACCGGCCCCAGTCCCAGCTCCCGCCAACCCAGCGACTCGAAAGTAATTGCAAGTAGAGAAATGGGTACCTGCCTTAGAGGCGGGGGGCACCCTCCTCCTGGTTCCGTGCCAGGAGGGTTGATGGCGACGATGGCAGTAAGAGAAGCAGCGGCGGCGAGGAAGAACAATGGCGGCATCAGGCGGACCGTGGGAGCGACGACGACATCGGATTGAGGCGGAACCGGATGACGCAACTGCGGAGAGACGCGGTGCGGCTGGAACCCAAAGGGACGAGTAGCCGGGAACACCGCAGTCCAGGAGCAGTGCGCATCAACGGAGGGTCCATCTGCAGCCCGCTGATGGTCGCCGCTCGCCAGTATGCCAAGACTACGCCGGAGCCACCGAGTACGGAGAGAAGCCTGTCGTCCGGGTGCTG